CACTGCAGTCAGACATGTAATGCTCTTTATCAGCATGTTGCATTAGCACCACACACACACACACACACTTTTATAATGGTTTGTAACACTGTGTCTCTGTTTTCTCCTAGACGCTGTGTCGGTGGCTGCTGACCGTGAGGAAGAACTACCGCATGGTTCTCTATCACAACTGGAGACACGCGTTCAACGTCTGCCAGTGCATGTTCTCCATGCTGACCGTGAGCTTTGCAACACTCTGTGTCTGCATGTGTGTGTGCGTGTGCGCGTAAGTGCATGCATGTGTCAGCATGTGTGTTTGTGCATGTGCATGCGTGCGTATGTGTGTTAATGTGTGTGTTTTTGCATGTGCGTGCGTGCGTATGTGTGTTAATGTGTGTGTTTTTGCATGTGCGTGCATATGCATGTGTGAGTTCATGTGTGTGCGCATAAGTGTGTGTTTATGTGTGTGTGCATGTTTGTGACTGTGCGTGCGTGTGTTTGCATATGTGCGTGCGTATGCGCTTGTGAGTGCAGTGCATGTGTGTTGCGCGCGCGCGTGTGTTTCTATGCGTGTGCTTGTGCATGTGTGTGCACGTATGTGTGTATTTATCTATGTTTATGTTTGTTTGTGTGTGTGTGTGTTTGTGCATGCGCCTAAATATGCGTATGTTTGTGCATGTGTGCAAAAGTTTTGCGCGTGTGTGTTTGTGCATGTGTGGACTGTATCTGTGTGTGTGTGAGTGCATGCTTGTCTGTGCATGTGTTTATTTGTGTGTCTTTGTGCATGTGTGTATAGGTGCGTGTGCATGCATGTGTGTATGCGTGTGTGTACATATGCGCAAGGGTATGTGTTTATGTGTGCGAATTTGTGTGTGTGTGTGTGCGTGTTTGTGTGTAGTTCTCTGTGTGTTTATGTATGTGTTTGTGCATGTGTGTATGCACGTAACTGCATGCTTGTGTGTGTATCAGGCTGTTTCATAAAATCCGCTAAGAATTGAGTTTGTGTATGTGTGTGTGTGTGTGTGTGTAGACAGCAGGCTTCCAGGAGACTCTGACAGAGATGGAGACACTGGCTCTGATCGTGGGCTGCATCTGCCATGATTTAGACCACAGAGGAACCAACAACGCCTTCCAGGCCAAGTGAGACTCACACACACACACACACACACACACACACACTGATCCAGCACAACACCACCAGAACCACCCCACACACACTCATTCACTACTCCCTACAGCAGTCCACTCATATAGTTCACTTAAAGCAGTGAATGAATAGGAGCGCGTCCATTTAGTTTGTGTGTTGTTGTTTACCTTTAGATTCCACAATTCGTCAACAACATGTCCCTGTAGATATCATTAGTGTGAAAACGAGCAAAAGCTGTTGACTTCATACTGCCCCCTAGTGTTTCGTTTACCTAGAAACTGACGTCAAATGTATGATGAAGAACATTTTTGCCATTTCAAATGTTCAGTATGTATGTAACAGTGATGTGTGTGTGTGTGTGTGTGTGTTTCTCAGGACGGGATCAGCTCTTTCTCTTCTTTACGGGACGTCAGCAACACTAGAGCACCATCATTTCAACCACGCGGTGATGATCCTGCAGAGCGAGGTAAACTTACATTTTCGGGTTCATGCAGTCTTCCCATGTTTATTCATTCATTCATTTTCTTAGTCCCTTTATTAATCCGGGGTCGCCACAGTGGAATGAACCGCCAACTTATCCAGCAAGTTTTTACACACACACATTCACACACACACTCATACACTACGGACAATTTAGCCTACCCAATTCACCTGTACCGCATGTCTTTGGACTGTGGGGGAAACCGGAGCACCCGGAGGAAACCCACGCAAAGGCAGGGAGAACATGCAAACTCCACACAAAAACGCCAACTGAGCCGAGGTTCGAACCAGTGACCTTCTTGCTGTGAGGCGACAGCAAAACCTACTGCGCCACTGCCTCACCCTTCCCATGTTTATCTGTGCACATATTCATAAAAAACTCCGCCCTCTCATTTGAATTTAAAGCGACAGTCACCAAAACTCCACAATTAGGATCAAAGCTTGAGGCCCCGTTTACACTAGTGCGTTTTAGTTTTAAAACGGCGTTTTAGATTAAAAACGATCTGCGTCCACCACACTAGCGTTTCACCTAGCGTTTCTGAACATATCTCCGTCCACACTACGCCACCAAAAACGTATATCACGTGACCATTCGCGCACTCTGGGCATGCACGTTATGGTATAAACAGAAAGCATGTGTCTCGCTCGGCATTTGGTTATTGTTAGTCAACAAACGCCGGTTGAACAATGAATGCGATGGCAAAGAAAGCGCGAGAGGTATTTCTGTGGACATGACGACGAGGTCGAGTTGTTACTAAACGTAACAAATGATTAACTGCACAATGCCACCTAAAACAGACAATAGTGCAAACAACGCTCTCATTTCTGTGCCCGTGTTGTTGTTTACAGTGAAGGCTGGTCTGCTGTCTTCTGGTATTGTTAAAGCAATGTGTTATAGTCATGTGATAGGGGCTTGACGAATAAGGGAAGGATACACAATGACACAAAAGCACCAATCAGATAGAGAATCTCAGCAGCTCCGCCTCCGTTTTCAGATGTCTCCGTTTTCCCTCATCCACACTGAGACGGAGCAGCAGCGTTTCAGAATGAAAACAGCCTCTCCAGCGTTTCCAAAACGTTTTCAGCGCTCGAAAGCTTCAGCGTAATGTGGACGGATGGTGTAACCGTAGCAAAACATATACGTTTTCAAACTAAAACACATCAGTGTAAACGGGGCCTGAAAGAATCAGTTTCAGAGAGCTATAACACATTATCTGTGTGGTATTTTGAGCTGAAACGTCACACACACACACACACACAAGGGACAGCGGAGACTTGCGTTAAATCTTGTAAAAAGGGGCATATACTAGTTACCCTTTAATAACAATGAATAAAAATAGAGTTCACAGCAGTAACATCACGCTTGTAGCATATGTCTACAAAAAATGAGAAGAAAATCAATATTTGCAACACCCACAGAGCCTCACATTTACACCGCTTACTTTCATAAAACAAACAGAACTGTACAAACGAGTGAAAGAGAGACGGAGGTGTGTAAAGTGACAGATGTTGACTGCGAGTAATTGCTTTCCACAGACACAGGCTGTTTATCTGTCACTGTCATTTGCATGCAAATGAGCTTCGGTCATTACTGGCAGACAGAGGCAACTATTAATTAAGTCCCTCTTCAAGAAACGCCAGCAGTTGCTCTGCTCTTTAATCTGTAGCCTAACCCGTTTCCCATCACGCCTCACAGTTGGAAAGAGCACAAATACCGCAGTGAAATCCTGGAGTTTCACACTTGTGCTGGAGATAACACACACATTGGCGCATGTTTGGTGTGTTTTATGGCGGTGTGCCAGCACTGTTAAAACTTCACGCATGATTTTATGTGTGTGAGTGTGTTTAAATATCAGTTTATTTTCATCATCGCTCTGACGTCAGAGGTGTGGGCGGATTTTATTTAGCATATATTAAGTGATGGTTATATTTTCAAACACAAACCCACTGTGTATGAGTGATTCCAGAATTACAAGTACAAGTTGATGTGTGTGTGTGTAAGATAAAACCTATTATTTTTCAAAAACAATAGCTTGAAATGGTTTTGAGTTTTCAAATATTTCCCGAATGATGTTGAACAGATTCAGGAGTTTCTCACAGTGTTTCCTCTAATATTTGTTCTTCTGGAGAAAGTCTTATTTGTTTTATTTCGGCTAGAATGAAAGCAGTTTTTAATATGTTTTAAAGCCATTTTAAAGTCAATATTATTCGCCCCTTCAGCAATATTAGTGTTGGATTGTCTCTAGAACAAACCACTGTTATACAATGACTTGCCTAATCACCCTAACTTTACCCTGATTACCATAAGCCAGGGGGTGTGCAAACTTTTTGGGCCGAGGGCCAGAAGAAAAAAAAAAAAACATTGTCCCGGGCCAAATTTTACATACTAAAAATAATCCGGGGTCGCCACAGCAGAATGAACCGCCAACTAATCCAACATGTTTTTTACGCAGCGGATGCCCTTCCCATCTCTGGGAATATATATATATATATATATATATATATATATATATATACAGTTGAAGTCAGAATTATTAGCCCCCCTGACTTATTAGCACCCCTGTTTATTTTTTCCCTAATTTCTGTTTAATGGAGGGAAGATTGTTTCAGCACATTTCTAAGCATAATAGTTTTAGAAACCTATTTCTAATAACTAATTTATTTTATCTTTGTCATGATGACAGTAAATAATATTTTACTTGATATTTTTCAAGACACTTCTATACAGCTTAAAGTGACATTTAAAGGCTTCACTAGGTTAATTAGGTTAACTATTCAATTCAATTCAATTCAGCTTTATTTGTATAGCGCTTTTACAATGTAGATTGTCAAAGCAGCTTCACATAAATGGTCATAGTAACTGGAACAGTGTGGTTCAGGTTTTAGTGTTTAAGTTCAGTTCAGTTCAGTTTAGCTCAGTTCAGTGTGATTTAATCATTACTAAGAGTTCAAACTCTGAAGAGCAAATTTATCCATGCGTAGCTCTACCAATCCTGAACCATGCGAGGCAGTGGCGACAGCGGAGAGGGTAAAAAAACTTCACCTGATGGGAGTGAAGAAAAAAAACCTTGAGGGAACCAGACTCAGTTGGGCACGACCATTTTAATTTCTCCGCTGGCCAAAAGTCTTGTGCAGAACTTCATAACTAGGCAGGTTGTGGTAATTTGGCAAGTTATTGTATAATGATGGTTTGTTCTGTAGACCAGGGGTGTCAAACTCAGTTCCTGGAGGGCCGAAGCCCTGCACAGTTTAGTTCCAACCCTGCTCCAACACACTTACCTGTAGCTTTCAAACAAGCCTGAAGGACTCAATTGGTTTGATCAGGTGTGTTTAATTAGGGTTGGAACTAAACTGTGCAGAGCTGCGGCCCTCCAGGAACTGAGTTTGACACCTGTGCTGTAGACTATCGAAAAAAAAAATAGCTTAAAGGGGCTAATAATTATGTCCCAAAATTGTTTTTTAAAAAATTAATAACTGCTTTTATTCTATCTGAAATAAAACAAATAAGACTTTCTCCAGAAGTAAAAATATTATCAGACATGCTGTAAAAATGTCCTTGCTCTGTTAAACATCATTTGGTAAATATTAAAAAAAGAAAAAAAAATCAAAAGGGGGCTAATAATTCTGACTTCAACTGTGTATATATATATAAGGGTTTCCTGTGCTGCACGATTAGCTGAGCCTCCTCATAATAACTAGCCAGCGTAGAATTTTCTTGCACTTTATTAGCATGAAAAAACTGCTGTTGTTGAGCTGATGGAGCAGCTGCTAATTGTTTTACTTTTTGATCTCGTTCGGCACCAGTGTAAGAGCTGAAGGCCTGATGTTTTGTTTCATAATGTCTTTTAATATCATATTCCTTCATTACTGCAACTGATTCCTGGCAAATTAAACAGACACATATTCCACTGACCTCTGTGAAGAAATATTCTTTGCCCCAACGTGACTGAGGCCGTACTCACACTAGGTACAGTTGCCTCGAACCGGGCCAAAGCACGCTTGTCCCCCCTCCCGTCTCCCCCGACGGCCCGCGCTCACACCACAAATGGGCTTCGGCACGCTTACGTCATCGCTGCTGCGCTGTTCAGTGAGAAGCGCTCTCTCACTCAGCAGCACAGTGGAGATTTCTCTAGTTATATCGTTTCAGTCGTTTGTTATGCAGTGACATGCAGTCAAATATTTCGCCAAACAGTCCTTCGGGATGCGGGGACACGCAGTCAGATATTTCGCCGAACAGATCCGCCACTTTTGGCGCTCATAAACAATCATAAAGCTCTCGTGCTGCAGGGATGAGGAGGTCTGCTGAAGGCGCGCAGCTGGCGTGCAGTGAGGGGTTTGTGTATTAAATAAACTACGGCAGTTTGCGTTCACTGAACAGTAAGAATGATTAATAAATCCATATGAAACAACCCCTTGAAAGTCACGTCTCGCTTTTAGTTTTGGGCTTTGGCGCGTTTTGCACTCACACTACAAGCGTAGCGCGCCAAAGCCCAAGTGAACCGCGCTCAGGCACATCTCTTCAACCGGGCCAGGGCCGGCCAAGTGAACCGTGCTTGAGCCCGATTCAGCGCACTCACACTTCTCAAACGATCCGGGAAACGGGCCTGGGCACGGTACGGATGGCATAGTGTGAGTAGGCCCTGAAATTTCCTGCACTCACTGTTGATTTTCCTTATGCTTGGTGCGTCATGGCTCGCCAAACGTGATTATCAATTATGTTTCCTTCAGTCTGTTCGGTTCGTTTTACTTCATAACGGGAACTACTGCCTAATTGAAGGCATGTCATAGCGACACCCGGTGGTTATTTGTTTAATTACATTCATGTTTGTATAGCGGGCCAGATTCTATTAATATTTATAAGCCTCGTGGGCCACTACAAAACTGATTGCGGGCCGCAGATGGCCCGCGGGCCGTAGTTTGGACACCCCTGCCCTAAGCTGAATACTAGTGTCTTGAAGAATGTCTAATATTATGTGCTGTCATTTTGACAAAGAGAGAATAAATCAGTGATTAGAGATGAGTTATTAACACTATTATGATTAGAAATGTGCTGAAAATAATCTTCTCTCCATTAAACAGAAATTGGGAAAAAATAAACAGGGGGGCGAATAATTCAGACTGTGTTTTGGAATATCTAATAACACAAAATGGAAAAGCTTTCTGAACAGTGTGCATTGTTTGTTTGTCTGTGTTTAGGGTCACAACATCTTCTCCAATCTGTCGTCACATGAGTATGGAGAACTGATGCAGCTCCTCAAGCAGTCCATACTGGCCACAGACTTAACCCTCTACTTTCAGTGAGTACAGCTGGCTGTGGGTTCAGCCGATACATCAATACCAATACACCTGTGTGTGAGTGTGTGTTTGTATGTGTGCGTGAATGTTTGTGCATTTGTGAGCGTGTCTGTGTGTGTGTGAGTGTGTGTTTGCATGTGTTTATCTAACATGTTTGTTCTAATCTGCATTTATACATGTTATTTAAACTGATTTAATGAATTAAACAGTTTCAAACATTTACATTGAACTATTTTAACCGCATGGGTCAATCAAGTCCATGTTTGACCCAGCATTGTGTTAAAACTGCCCAGCATTTTTCCAGTGTTCTCTTCAATGGGATTTATAGGTATAATCAACACTTCAGCGTGTGAAAAACAGCATCACTTTGGTCTCCGTTATAATCTGGAGTACAAAAACACTGAAGACGAGCGGTTTCCTGCTGCATATTCAACATTTAAAGCCTTGTCTTCTTGAATTTAAGACATTGGGCTTTACTTTGTGCTTTTAAGGGCTTTTAAGATCTGCAGAAACCTGCTATCGTTCAAGAAGACATTAATGGTTTATTAAGCAAGGATGCGTTCAATTAAGAGTAGAGACTTTTAGTTTTATTACAGAACTATCGATATAATGTAACAAATATATATAAAATTGTAATAAAATAACGAAAGTGTTTTAACATTATTTTAAGGCTTCTGACAAAAACAATGCATCACAATGTCTTGTATCTTGAAATGTAATAATGCTGTAATATTATTGTTTTTTACTGTTTGTGATATTTTGGGGTTAAAGGTGCAGTAGGTGATCTGCCTAAACGCTATCTGTTAACATAATGGGCTCTATTTTGACGGTCCATGTGCAGAGCGCAGGGCGCAAACACATTCAGGGCGTGTCAGAATCCACTTTTGCTAATATAAGGACGGAAAAATCTGCTTTGTGCTGTGGCGCATGGTCTAAAAGGGTTGAGCTTATTCTCTTAATGAGTTATAGGTGTGTTTTGAGAATAAACCAATCAACTCATCTCCCATTCCCTTTAAGAGTCAGCCGCGTCGCGCCAAGAGCGCATTCGCTATTTACAGGACGCAAAGTAAGTATAAGTGGAAAAAAATTAGCATTTCACAAGCAAGAAAACAGTTAAACAGAGCATCTGCAGCGCGAGAATGAGAGATACGCCTCCGCATTATTTACTTTCACTTTAATTAATTTTGTTTATTAAGCACAAAGATTTGTTTCAAAACTGTTTCTAAATTCAGTTCTAATTTCCAGCAAACGAATAAATGAACAATAATAATGAAGTGTGCTCAAAAACCTGAGTTATATCCTAAAACACATGCTGTGCCCCTTATGATCTAAAACCTGACAGGTGGGCAAATCTAAGCTTGTTTTTAATAAAACAAATACAAATATGGATATAATAAATAATACTGCTAATAATAATAACATTATACAAAAGCAAATTGTTATGAATGAACTGAAAAAGCCTCCCGAGATGAAGAAGACATAAAAGCAGTGATTTTTCATATTTATGTCGGCTAGAAAATAATATGTTTTGTAATATTTTATTCCTTTATATTTATATCCTATATCTATTCTTATTATATCCTATATATATCCTTAATATTTACATTTTTTCATGTGTAAAGATATTTGCCTATTGCTCTCTTGTGTGTATTAAGCAGTGTGTAAGTGAGGCGCAACCTGCTTCAACACACTTACCTGTAGGTTTCAAACAAGCCTGAAGGACTCAATTAGTTTGATCAGGCGTGTCTAATCAATTTAAATATTTTAAAATATCAAATAAAAGTAAACAAATAAAACATGCAGCTGTTATGGCATCAAAGCATGAACAAAAATACATAAATAAAATAATTTAAATTTAATAATATAATACAATTGAACACAATTTAATACATTAAAATAAAAAAATATATAAAAAATAAAATAAATGTATTCATTCATTCATTTTGTTTTCGGCTTATTCCCTTTAATAATCTGGGGTCGCCACAGCGGAATGAACCACCAACTATTCCAGGATATGTTTTACGCAGCGGATGCTCTTCCGGCTGCAACCCAGTACTGGGAAATAATAAAATTCAGTGAATGAAAATATAAAATAAACATAAATAAATAATTAAGTCATGGCCAGCTGATATTGGATTAAAGCAAATAAAATTATTATGCAAACAAATAAATAAAATAGTTCAAATAAAAATATGTGTGTTTCCAGCTGGTGTGTTTTCCTCTGTGATTTCTCTGAGCTGCGCTGCCACCGTGTGTCAGGACTGTGAACTGCACCGCTCTCACACTGTGTGTTTGTCTGTGTGTGTGTGTGTGTGTGTGTTTTCTCATTATCAGGAACAGAAACTCTTTCTTTGAGCTGGTGAATAAAGGCGAATACAACTGGAACGTGAAGGAGCACAGAGAGATGTGCAGGTCAGCTGCACACACACACACACACACACACACACACACACATGGCAGAGTATCTGTTGATTATCTGCTGAATATTTCTCAGGTCCATGTTGATGACGGCGTGTGATCTGGGCGCTGTTACCAAACCCTGGGAGATTTCGCACAAGGTACACACTTTTACCCACAATGCACCACTGCTGAGGACGGACAGGAATATTTCTGGCTAAACGAACATTTTATTTATTTACTTTATTATTTTGTTTATTTTAAAGATAGTTATAACGTGTTATGAACCACGAGCCAACTGCTAAAAAGAAAATATTGTTTCGATTTATTACTAGCTTTAAAGCAGACATTTATGATTTATTTATAAAATATTTATTTATTTAAAAAATATATGACCTTAAATCTTGTATTGTTTTTTCCTTATATAGTGCATTATTATCCGTCACATTTTCACCAAAATATATATTTTTTATTTGTTTGTCTTATAGGGATTCATTCGTTCATTCGTTTATTTTTTAATTAATTTATTTAAAAGATTTTTATTTAATTATTTAATTATTACATTAAATGATCTTTTTACACATTTTAAATAACATCACATTAATTAATTTATTCATTTATTAGACATGGGTAAAGTGTCATAAACCATGATGCAATGCAACAGCTAAAAATTGAATATTGCTAAAGTTTTCAAGCTAAATTTAATTATCATGTATAAAAATATGATGTCAAATCTTTTAGTCCCTATAGAGTGGATTATGTTCATTACAATTTCTCCCATAATACATATATATATATATATATATATATATATATATATATATATATATATATATATATATATATATATATATATATATATTTCATTTGTTTTGATAAAAATAGAAGGGTGGATGGATGGATTAAATTAATTAATCATTTAATAAAGAAAGAAATTTAAAAAATATTAATTGATAAAAAAGAAAGAAATGAATGAATGAATGAATGAACAAATTAATGAATTTATGGATTGATAGAATGAATGAATGAAAATAAACAAAGAAAGAAATGAGTGAATGAATGAATGCATGAATGAATGAATGAATAAAGGAAATGAATAAACAAAGAATGAACTGAATGAATGAATAAAAAATTGAATGAATGAATCAAGAAAATTTATAAATAAAGAAAATGAACGAATGAATAAACAAATAAAGAAATTAATTTATAAAGAAAATGAATAAAGAAAGTGACTGAATGAATAAATAAATGAATTAATAAAGAAGGAAATGAATGAATGAATAAAGAAAATGAATGAATAAAGAAAGAAAGAAATGATTGAATGAATAAAGAAACAAATGAATGAATGAAGTAAATGAACGAATAAAGAAAATTAATGAATGAATAATAAATAATTAATGAATAAAGAAAGAAAGAAAGAAAGAAAGAAAGAAAAAAAGAAAACGAATGAATGAATAAGTGAACAAATGAATGAATAAACAAAATGAATGAATGAATGAATGAATACATGAATGAATAAAGAAAGAAATGAGTGAATAAATAAAGAAAATGAATGAACGAATATATAAATAAATAAATAAAAAACAAATGAATGAATGAAGAAAATGTCTGAATAAAGAAAGAAATGAGTGAATGAATAAAGAAAATGAATGAATGAATGAATGAATAAATAAACAAATGAACGAATAGACAAAGTAAATGAATGAATGAATAAATGAATCAATAAAGGAAGAAAAATAATGAAGAAATTAAAGAATGAATGAATTAAAATGTGTAACATGTCACAGAAGAATAAAAATGAAACATAAAGTACTGATATGTGTAACTGCTGACAGTGGTGTGTGTGTTTGTGTGTGTGTGTGTGTGTGTGTGTGTGTGTGTGTGTGTGTGTTTTCTGTCGCCGCCAGGTCGCAGAGCTGGTAACCAGTGAGTTTTTCGAGCAGGGAGATCGGGAACGCTCCGAACTCAAGCTCACGCCGTCGGTAAGATTAAAAACTAAACACTTCAGCACATCTACACTCATGCAGCGCTCACACTAGTAGCCGAGTAAGAGATAAAGTACATCCAGGAGGTTGTTATCTCAGAATAAAGCCTGACAGGTTTATCAGCAGCCCGATATGAAGGGGAGTACTGAAGGGCTTATTCTGTGAAAACAACCACCTGGATGTACTTTATCTTTATTATTACACAGCTACTGGCCACCAAACATGAAGAAAACAGAGGCAAAACATTATTCTGAGCTGTAATACTTTATTGTTTATTTCATTTAACACAACACTGACAGAAACTGAAACAGCTGATGGAGTACAGGATAAAGGTCTCTGTCTTCTGCTCAGTGTGTGTGTGTGTGTGTGTGTGCGCATGATGTATTCACACACTATCTCTCTGCTGCAGACTGCACATGCACAGAAATGGACAGACACACAGAAACACAGACAAAGACCAACAGAAAAACTGGCAAAGCCACACAGACATATTCACTGTCACACACACATGCATACAGAGAGACTTGCAGACACACAGAGACGCACACAGTAAAAGCCATAAACACTCTCACACTTACAGTCAACACACATTCACATATGCACACATATACACTCACCGGCCACTTTATTAGGTACACCTTACTAGTGCCTTAATCCTTCATGGCAGAGATTCATCAAGCAACTGAAATATTCCTCAGAGATTTTGCTCCATATTGACATGATAGCATCACACAGTTGCTGCAGATTTGTCGGCTGCACATCCATGATGCCAATCTCCAGCTCCACCACATCCCAAAGCTGCTCTATTGGATTGAGCTCTGGTGACTGTGGAGGCCATTTGAGTACAGTGAACTCATCGTCATGTTCAAGAAACCAGTCTGAGATGATTGAGCTTTATGACATGCTGCGTTATCCTGCTGGAAGTAGCCATCAGAAGATGGAGACACTGTGCTCATAAAGGGATGGACATGGTCAGCAGCAATACTCAGGTAGGCTGTGGTGTTGATGCTCAATTGGTACTAATGGACCCAAAGAAAATCTCCCCCACACCATTACACCACCACCACCAGCCTGAACCGCTGATACAAGGCAGGATGATCCATGCTTTCATGTTGTTGAGGCCAAATTGTGAGCCGAGCATCCAAATGTGTCAGCAGAAATGGAGACTCATCAGAGCAGCAACGTTTCTCCAATCTTCTATTGTCCAGTGTTGGTGAGTCTGTGTGAATTGTAGCCTCAGTTTCCTGTTCTTAGCTGACAGGAGCGGCACCCGGTGTGGTCTTCTGCTGCTGTAGCCCATCCGCCTCAAGGTTGTACGTGTTGTGTGTTCAGAGATGCTCTTCTGCAGAGCTCGGTTGTAACGAGTGCTTATTTGAGTTACTGTTGCCTTTCTATCAGCTGGAACCAGTCTGGCCATTCTCCTCTGGCCTCATCAACAAGGCATTTGCGCCCACAGAACTGCCGCTCACTAAATATTTCCTCTTTGTCGGAGCATTCTCTGTAAATCCTAGAGATGGTTGTGCGTGAAAATCCCAGTAGATCAGCAGTTTCTGAAATACTCAGAGCAGCCCGTCTGGCACAAACAACCATGCCACGTTCAAAGTCACTTAAATGCTCTTTCTTCCCCATTCTGATGCTCACATTGAACTGCAGCAGATCCTCTTGGCCATGTCTACACGCCTAAATGCATTGAGCTGCTGCCATGTGATTGGCTGATTAGAAACTTGCGTTAACAGGCAGTTGGACAGGTGTACCTAATAAAGTGGCCGGCGAGCGAACTGTACATATCCACACACACAGCAAAACACAGACATGCTCACACACTCAAACAAGTGCATATAGACAGACACACACACACACATGCAAACACTAGACACTCTCACACAGACACACACATTTGTCGCTTGTTTAGTAAATTCAAATGTAAATACTACATTATTTAACTTTAACATCTGCTTAATGAGTTTAATGAACACTCATGACACGTTGTGTGTGTGTACGAGTTTTTGTGACATATCAGGACACATATATGTATAATGACATGGGTATGACACAGGTATTACAAAAAGGAAGTGAAATATGAGGACATTGGTGACGTCCTCATTTCTCAAAAAGCTTATAAATCACACAGGATGAGTTTAATCAGAGTAAAGCTGAACACTGACTCCTGTGATGGTTGGGATTAGGGATAGAGTGGGGTGAGGGCAATACAATATAAGGTTTGAACAGTATAAAATTAATGGAAACCTATGTAATGTACCCACTTTTCACAAAAACAAATGTGTGTGTGTGTGTGTGTGTGTGTGTGTGTGTGTGTGTGTGTGTGTGTGTGTGTGTGTGTGTGTGTGTGTGTGTGTGTGTGTGTGTGTGTGTGTGTGTGTGAAAGGCCATATTTGACCGAAATCGTAAGGACGAGCTGCCAGGCCTTCAGCTGGAGTGGATTGATGGGATCTGCGCGCCGCTCTATGAGGTACTGTAACACAGTGGTTCTCAAAGTGGGGGTCGGGACCCCGTGAAGGGGTCGCGGAACAATGAAGGGGGGTCGCCTGGTGATTTCCAAAAATCTACTTATTATTATTAGACCATAAGAATTACCATATGTTAACCATAACCAACTGAAGAGAAAAAAAACAGTCGTTTATAGTTAATATAGTAGCTTATTTACTTGTTCTATTGGATTGCGACCCCTGCGGTAAATACATTATATTAAAGACACAGCAATAGCGTCAGATGCAGCAGATTGATTTTATAACACCAGGTTAAACTTTCTGGCCCATTTACAGCACTGAAATACATTTAAAAAATTAAACGAAGAATAGACTTTGGTCTATTGGTGTGTGAGTGCGCCATTGCATGCAAGTTTTCTGTATTTATAACCACCTCAGGGGATATTGGGGGTCGCGAGTCACTGGTATTGTTATTTTAGGGGTCGCGTGCTGAAAAGTTTGGGAACCCCTGCTGTAACACACTCCCACAATGCATCAGCAAAGAAAATACGGAGTCAGCAATTGGCTGAGCAAAACCTGCAGCTACTCGAGAAAAGAGTCAGAGGGTTTTCCCCTAATGATGAAAAAATGCTAATTCATGCGAAGGAAATCCAGCTAGCGCTGGCTCACTTGTGTTAATGCAGAGACTAAATTAATACAGAATTAATCACACACTTCATCTTTGACCATGTACAGCCTGACTCACAGTTGAAGACAGCATGATTAGCCCTCTTGTGAAACTTTTAATCCTTTACAATATTTCCCAAGTCCTGTTTCAAGAGTTCACACTCAGCAGATGATTGATTATAAAGCTTGGCTGTTTCTCAATATGCGTTCTTCAGCGGTCTTGCGTCCTCGTGTTCTCGTGTAACGTCATCATCAGCTGCCTAAGTTCAGTTTCAATACTCAAGACCGCAAGTACGGAGGACGCGTGAAACTTCCCGGATGTGATCTTGATAACGAGGATGCAACGATGCAGACTTGAGCACCGAACTCGCTCTGGAAGTCCCAGAAGTCATTGCGACTGGAGGTGGGAAGCGCAGCATTTTATTTAGATTTATTATTAAAGTTCAGAGATATCACTTATTTACCTCAGGAGTTTCCCTAAATGAAACGGTGAAAGTAAACATTAACATGGACATCTTAATAAAGGAATGAACACATTAAGGGTGTTTGTTTGCTGAAATTCGTATTAAAATTTGTTTTATTTATATTGTGCAGAGTATATTGATAATGTTTTTATGCAAAGTATATATTTTGAAGAGGGGGGAAACAATAAATGGTTGTATGAAGGCTGTAATGTTTAAATAATTTCCATTTAAAATGTGTGAAGGTCATGTGACCATCAGGAAGAACGCAGCATCCCATTTCTCAAAGGACGCGTTCTCTGCCCTCGCGGTCTCCTGAGTTCGTTCTTCCGAGGACACCCAGCAAGACCGCTCTTCACAAGAACACAAGTCTGTTCTCTGCGTTCTTGGAATTGAGAAACAGCCCTGGTTTGGCATGCTGTCCTGAGAGAGAGCCCTGAGCTCTACGGGGCTCCCTCCTGTTTGCAGGGCGAGAGGGGAGTTTGAGCTCAGGTAGATCTCGAGAACTTCCCCCTTATTTAGAGCTGATGACAAATTATAAATTGCTATATAGAGATATACTGCTGGTTGAGAGCTCAATTATAGTGCTAATTTAATAATAATAATAGTTCCTTACATTTATATAGCGCTTTTCTAGACACTCAAAGCGTTTTACACATTGGGGGGAATCTGCTCATCTACCACCAGTGTGCAGCATCCACCTGGATGACTAGACCGCAGCCATATTGCGCCAGACCGCACACCACACATTAGTGGATTAGTGGAGAGGAGACAGAGCGATGAAGCCGATTATGATATGGGGAAGGTTAGGAGGCCATGATGGACAGGGGCCAGTGGGCAGATTTGGCCAAACCCCTACTCTTTTCTGAAGGACATCCTGGGATTTTTAAAGACCACAGAGAGTCCGGACCTGTATGTAGGCGGAGTGATACACAAAGGGTAAAGAGGCTGTACGGGTGCTGATATTACTTAAACACATGGCGGCTATCAGCCAATCAGATTCGAGAACCAGACAGAACTGTTGTATAAAAAAAACATTTAAAACTGCTTTTAATCCTGCCAAAACAAAACAAAAAAGACTTTTTCAAGAAGAAAAAAGATTATAGGAAATACTGTGAAAATTTTTTATATCTGTTCGACATCAGGCGAGGCAGTGGCGCAGTAGGTAGTGCTGTCGCCTTACAGCTAGAACGTCGCTGGTTCGAGCCTCGGCTCAGTTGGCGTTTCTGTGTGGAGTTTGCATGTTCTCCCTGCGTTCGTGTTGGTTTCCTCCGGGTGCTCCGGTTTCCCCCACAGTCCAAAGACATGCACTATAGGTGAATTGGGTAGGCTAAATTGACCATAGTGTGTGTGTGTGTGTGTGTGTGTGTGTGTGTGTGAATGTGTGTGGATGTTTCCCAGAGATGGGTTGCGGCTGGAAGGGCATCCGCTGCATAAAATCTTGCTGGATAAGTTGGCGGTTCATTCCACTGTGGCGACCCCGGATTAATAAAGGGACTAAGCCGACAAGAAAATGAATGAATGAATGAATGATGTTCGACATTACTTGGGATACAAAGCAAGTTGTTGGGGTTGATCATTTAGACCTCGAACATTTAAAGAAGAAATAAAGTCACTAATTGACAGGACGCTGTTCACTTTCGGGTGAATGTTCATTAGCGGAACTGGTAAAAGTCTGCTTGATGGGCTCTCAGTCTGCTCACTTGGTTCTAGTTTTTTCATGAACACACATTTGAAGTCGTGATCAAAGCGTGATTGCTGCGTGTCAGACGGTCTGTGTGATATTCAGCACTGTTTTTACAGCACATGGCAGGATTGTGACAGTTGTATCACGAACAACAGCTCATTTATTTATGCGCAGTCATTCCTCACTAAAGACGTGTGATGTTCCCGAACAGCGGAAGATCTGTCTGGTCCTGATTGAATGTTAATTACTGTTTTCAAGCAAACACTCTCTCACTTTTACACACTAAAACACCATGAACCAGTAGTTCTCAATAGGGAGCCTCAGCAAACTCGAAGTGATTTTCATTTTAATACGTTTCTTTTTGAATCCTGGAAAATGATTCATTCATTTTCTTGTCGGCTTAGTCTCTTTATTAATCCGGGGTCGCCACAGTGGAATGAACCGCCAACTTATCCAGCAAGTTTTTACGCAGAGGATACCCTTCCAGCCGCAAGCCATTTCTGGGAGACCTCCACACACACTCATACACTACGGACAATTTAGCCTACCCAATTCACCTGTAACGCATGTCTTTGGACTGTGGGGGAAACCGGAATACCCGGGGGCAACCCACACGAAGGCAGGGAGAACATGCAAACTCCATACAGAAACGCCAACTGGGCCGAGGTTCAAACCAGCGACCTTCTTGCTGTGAGGCGACAGCACTACCTACTGCTCCACTGCCTCGCCCCGCGGCACTGTGGCTCAGTGGTTAGCTCTGTCGCATCAAAGCAAGAAGGTTGCTGGTTTGAGTCCCGGCTGGGTCAGTTGGCATTTCTGTGTGGAGTTTGCATGTTCTCCCCATGTTGGTGTGGGTTTCCCCCACAGTCTAAAGACATGCGGTATACCTCTAAGTGAATTGAATGGATTAAGTTGCCCGTAGTGTGCAAGAATGAAAGTGTGTATGGGTGTTTCCCAGTACTGGGTTGCAGCTGGAAGGGCATCCGCTTTATAAAACATATGCTGGAATAGTTTTTTTGGTACAATATATTTATTATTTTTTTCAATTTGCATATCACAACAGATTGCACAATTACAGAACAATAATCATGAAGGCACAGCAAACTTTTTACCCCCGATTCTCCCTCCCAACAACCCATTCCCTTAAAAATAAATAAATAAAATAAAATACATAAAATAATACTAAATAAGTAAATAGATAAAATAAAAAAACTAATAAATAAATATAATAAAAAAGGGGGGAAGAGAAAAAAAAGAAGAAAAAAAGGGGGGATATGTTTAAATCAGGTAGTCTGTTTAGACCATGATACTTCCCATATTCCTAAGCTTGTTCTAGTTGTAGTAGACTGTCCACATTTACATTGTACTTTAGAAAGTTAGTAAAAGGTCTCCAGATATCTTCAAATACATTTTGTTTGTTTTTTTGACAATGTACGTGATCTTTTCTATTGACATATGTGATGCCATTTCTTTCTTTTCCAATTAAGAGCAATAATACTTTTAGCTTGTAATATGTTGGAATAGTTGGCGGTTCATTCCACTGTGACTTTCCTATAGTTTTGAATAATAACACAAGTTATGTCAAGCTATGTCTTAAAAATAATGTTTGTGTGTGTATTAAGTGGCATGTTGTCTTGAAAATAATAACAGTAACTCCCTCTATAGCTATTTTTAACTCTACATCTGCTCTTTCTCCAGACATTTGCCAAATTAAACCCCAAACTGCAGCCGATGATGGACTTGATCAAGGCTAATCGTGCCAAATGGGAAGAACTGCACCACAGACACCAGCGAATCAGCCAAGAAGCCAGCATCCCCGCTAGTCCAGATCACGCAGAAGTTTCTAGCAGCTGTAGCTGTGCAGAGCCCCTCCACTCCATCAGCTAACTGCAGAAACCTTCCCACAATGCACAACAGGATGAGTCTGATCACTTCAGACCAGCAGGCATTACCTCACTAGCGCCCTCCGTGGCCGTTTCAGCACTGCGTCTGAGTTTGAGTTCGATGCTGCACGTTTAGCTAGCGTCGACTCGGAGAATCTTAGGGATGTGTTTACGCCCGGGGAAGCTAATTGGCTGAATTAGCTACTTTAGGGCTAGCATGCTAACTCTGCTGTGCGTGTGAGCTACTTCCAGCAGGGACTGTTTGAGGAGATCGCTGCAGTATTATATAGCGTATTTTTTTCTCATTTGTAGCTTTATGTTGGATGAACACACACAGTTGCAAGAAAAAGTATGTGAACCCTTGGGATTACTTAAATTTCGGCATACATTTCAAAGAAGGTGTGTCCTGATCTTCATCTAAGTCACAACAATAGAGAAACACAGTCTGCTTCAACTAATCCCACACAATTATGAAAGGTTTCATGTTTTTATTGAACACAACATGTAACCGTTCACAGTTCAGGGTGGAAAACATATGCAAACCATTGGGTTTATTAACTTGTTGACCATCCTTTGGCAGCAATAAACTCAACCAAACTGTTTATGTAGTTGCAGATCAGACCTGCACCATGCTTAGGAGGGATTTTGGACCGTTCCTCTGTACAAATTTTCTGTTTCAATTCAGCAATTTTCCTGGGATGTCTGGCGTAAATCACTTTTTTGAGGTCATGCCACAGTATCTCAATCAGGTTAAGATCGGGACTCTGACTGGGCCACTCCAGAAGGAGTAATTTCTTCTGTTGAAGTCATTTTGGTTTACTTCTGTGCTTTGGGTCTTTGTCTTATTCTGAGTGCTCTTGTGTGCGAGACATGGATCACACAAGGCAATGCTTCTTGAGAACAGCAAAGTCAAAACTGCTGTGTGTTTTTTAACAGAGCAGGGCGGCTTTAACCAACACATCCAATCTCATCACATTGATTGGACTCCAGGTTGGCTCCAATTAGCTTTTAAGGAAGTCATTAACCTAGCGGTTCACATACTTTTTCCACACAAAATCTTAACATTCACAGTGTAGGGTGGAAAAAATATGTTTCCCATTGGGTAAAATAACTTGTTGACCCTCCTTTTGCAGCAATAAGCTCAACCAAACACTTCCTGTAGTTGCAGATCAGACCTGCGTAACGGTCAGGAGGGAATTTGGACCGTTCCTCTTTAAAAAACTGGTTAAATTCAGCAATTTTCCTGGGATGTCTGGCGTAAATCAATTTTTTGAGGTCATGCCACAGTATCTCAATCGGGTTAAGCTCAGGACTCTGACTGGGCCACTCCAGAAGGTGTATTTTCTTTTGTTTAAGTCATTTTGTCGTTGATTTACTTTAATGCTTTGGGTCTTTTTCTGAGAGCTCGTTTGTGCGAGACATGGATCACACAAGGCAACACAAAATGTAAACATTCACAGTCACAGTTGATGGTTTAAAAAGTATGCAAACCTTTGGTTTTTAATAACGAGTTGACCCTCCTTTGGCAGCAGTGGGCTCAACCAAACATTTCCTGTAGTTGCAGATCAGACCTGCATAGCAGTCAAGAGGGATTTTGGATCATTCCTTGTTACAAAACTGGTTCAACCCAGCTATATATTTAGTGTGATGTCTGGTGTGAATCCCTTTCTTGCAGTCATGGCACAGTATCTTAATCAGGTTGAGGTCAGGACTCTGACAGGGCCACTCCCGAAGGTGTATTTTCATCTGTTGAAGACATTCTGTTGTTGATTTACTTCTATGCTTTCGGTCATTGTCCTTTTCTAAGACCTCTTTTGAGTGAGACATGGATCACATCAGGCAATGCTTCATGACAATAGCAAAGTCAAAACTGCTGTGTGTTTCACATACTCCACCCTGCACTGTGAATGCTTATATGTTGTGTTCAATGAAAACATAACACAATATGTGTGTGGCATTAGTTTAAGCAATGTTTTTCTATTGTTGTACCTTCGATGAAGATCAGAACACATTTTCTGTCCAATTTAAGCCGAAAACCAAGTGATCCCAAAGGGTTGGCATACTTTTTCCTGCAACTGTATGGTGAGCACTGGAGCTGGGTTCTGTACTGTGCGTAAGTCATGTGAAGAAATGACTCTAGTTTTAGCTGATGTATTTATTTATTGGAGGATCGGGGCTTTGTGGAGCTCTTGGCAAATACTTGCACTGCAAATCCACTCCAGCGCTGTACTCTGTGCCTTGGTAAAACCCCCATGATAATGCATGCATCGACTTCACAGTTAGCTCTGGTTCATACTCTACGTCATTATGGAGTTCACACACACGAAAAACACCCTCAAAACTCAGTCAAAATAGTTCAATAAAATTTATGGTAAAAAAAAGTAGTGGAGACATTGTGTGGTAGTGGAGACATGTCTAATTTGATAGTAAACTCCCTTATCATTAATACACCACTACAGTGCTTCACTACTTTATACAATATGAATACAACAGTGTTTTGAAGTATTAACATCTACATTATATCTTTGTAATTCACAGAATTAAAGCCCACCAAAAGCAGGCGGCGATGAGAACGTCACATGATGGCCTGATCATGATTAGGCCTGTTTCTAACTTCAGACTGCACTTTTTGGTTTCATTAAAGGATTGTGCCTTTACCAAGATAAAAAAGCAACAACACATGCAAAACGCCCAGGCTTCATTTGCATTCAGAATCTCATTCTAGGAAAATTTTGTCAGCTGGAAAACTCTCACAAATCCTAAGACCAAGGAAATTTTACAGACCAAAAAGAATACAAAAGCAGGGCCTTTTAAGATTATTTTGCTTAAAACACATTTTCTGCTCAACTTGTCCAAATGTTTTGATTTTGATTTTGTTTGTACTTCTTATTATAATAGCATTATAACAATCCATTGTGGTCATCATTATTATTTTTCAAATATCTCAGAACTAATAGCGAAAGATTAAATGTTATCTTTAGGTGTCCTTGTTGCGGTGTTATCAATGTATTGAGTATTATTATTGAGCAATGTATCCCCATTATGGCTAGGGTTAGCAGACATCTACTTCTTTACCAATCCCTAAATTTACAGCTGTAACCATATCACTAAACCTCTTAATAACATTAACCAAACCCCTAAAACTATCACTAAAACTCCCTATAACCTTAACCAACCCTTAAAACTCACTAAAACTGACCATAACCAAGCCTTACAACATCACCAAAACTCCCCATAACCTTAACCAACCCTTAAAACTCACTAAAACTGACCATAACCAACCCTTACAACATCACCAAAACTCCCCATAACCTTAACCAACCCTTAAAACTCACTAAAACTGACCATAACCAAGCCTTACAACATCACCAAAACTCTCCATAACCTTAACCAACCCTTAAAACTCACTAAAACTGACCATAACCAACCCTTACAACATCACCAAAACTCCCCATAACCTTAACCAACCCTTAAAACTCACTAAAACTGACCATAACCAAGCCTTACAACATCACCAAAACTCTCCATAACCTTAACCAACCCTTAAAGCGATCTCTAAAACTCTCTCTAATCTTAAGCAACCCGTAAAACGATCACCAAAACTCTCCATAACCTTGACCAACCATTAAACTATCACTTAAACCCTCTCTAGCCTAAACCAACCCTTAAAAACTAGCTGTAAAAATATCCTTAACTTTAACCAACCTATAAAACTAACACCAAATCTCTCTAATCTTAACCATCCCTTAAAACTAGCCCTAAAACTCGTTCTAACCTTAACCAAGCCTTAAAACTAACACTAAAACTCTCTTTGACCATAACCAACCCTTACAACATCACCAGATTTCTCCATAACATTTACCAACCCGTAAAACGATCACTAAAACTCTTCATAACCTTGACCAACCCTTAAAACTGCTCCTAAAACTCTCCACAGCCTTGACCAGCCCTTAAAACTAACACTAAAACTCTCTCTAACCATAACCAACCCTTACAACATCACCAAAACTCTCCATAACCTTAACCAACCTTAAAACTAACACTAAAACTCTCTCTAACCATAAGCAACCTCTAAAACTATCTCTTAAACTCTCTAACCTTATCCAACCCTTACAACTATCACTAAAACTCCACATAACCTTAACCAACCCTTAACCAATCACTAAAACCCTCTCTAGCCTTAACCAACCCTTAAAACTAGCTGTAAACTTCTCCTTAACTTTAACCAACCTTTTAAACTAACTCTAAATCTCTCTAACCTTAACCAGACCTTAAAACCTGCCCTAAACTTCTCCTTCACTTTAACCAACCCTTAAAGTTATCATCATAACTCTACCTAACTTTAACCAACCCTTAATACTAACACTAAACCTCTCTCTGACCATAACCAACCCTTAAGACTATTACTAAAACTCTCCATAACCTTGACCAACCTTTAAAACTATCAATAAAACTCTTTATAACCTTGACCAGCCCTTAAAACTATCACTAAAACCCTATCTAACCTTAACCAACCCTTAAAACTAGCTGTAAACTTCTCCATAACTTTAACCAACCTTTAAAGTTATCATTAAAACTCTCCCTAACTTTATCCAACCCTTAATGCTAACACTAATTCTGTCTAACCATAACCAACCATTAAAACTAGCTGTAAACTTATCCTTAACTTTAACCAACCTTTATAACTAACATTAAATCTCTCAAACGTTAACCAACCCTTAAAACTTGCCCTAAACTTCTCCTTAAATTTAACCAACCCTTAAATTATCATTAAAAATTCTCCCTAACTTTATCCAACCCTTAATGCTAACACTAATTCTGTCTAACCATAACCCACCCCTTAAAACTAGCCTTAAAACTGTTCTATTCAAGTTGGAAAAAATAAACAAACCAAAATAAAGGTCCCGCCCCCTACTCAATATTCAATTTCAGTTAGAAGTATATAAGCATACAAAAGTACAAGTCCCGCCCCCTGCCTAATATTCTGCTATTTGTAACTTTTTGATTTAGTGGCTTAGTCGAATTCAAACGATCTCATTCGAACAATTGAGTAGGATTTGCTCATCCCCAATGAGGGTGGGGTTGGGTGCCACGCCTCTTTTTAAAAATCTTACATTTTCATACAAATTCACCACAAAACGTAAAATTCTCACATTTCCTCGTGAGATCAGGCTGGATATTTCAATATTGGGTTACAACATCCCATCATTTTAATAAAAGTAAACAAACATTCATTTAAATCAGATTTTTTTGGTATTTTTAATTGTTTTTTCCCATGATTCTTTGTGTCCTGAAGTGGACTTTGCTTTACTTCCTGCACTTTGATAATTGTGTTGTGAAACAGCCTCAAACAGACGGAGAGCGAAGTCAGTGTATCTGCATGAACAGGTGTTTGCTTCAGAGATCTGCTGTGCCTGCATGGAGCCAGGAACACTGTCATATTGTGGAACTGCGTTATTTTCCAATGTTTACATTACTCGCACTGATTTATTGGTTATTGGGATTTTTTAATCACTGTTTGGTTTTACTCTGAGGCATTATGTAATGAGGCTGTTCTTGTTCTCTTGGTTCAATATTTCTTTTGTCTGGCAGAGATTTCTCAAGACTGCTGAAGCATGATTGCTGGAAGTGTCCAGTTCAAATAAACGTGCTGCTAGTAATGAGCTGCGACTCGTGGTATTTTGTTAAAATTAGAACTCTGACCTAGAGGTGCCGTATTGGAATAATCTGATATTGTAATTGTATGTAATATTTTATTTTCTGCAATATGAATACAGTTTCACAAGATGGTTTTAGTTTTCTGAGGAGTCTAACGGCTCGTTTCCACTGAGTGGTACGGTACAGTACGGTTCGGTACGCTTTAATGGCCGTTTTCACTGTCAACAGGTACCAAAAAAGCAGAGGTGTATAGTAACAAAGTAGAACTACTTCACTACTGTACTTAAGTACTAAAAGGCAGTATCTGTACTCTACTGGAGGACTGTTTTTTCTCCCTCTTCTACTTTTACTTCAGCACATATTTTCCATCAGTTTAATATCTTAATACTAATACTTAATTTTTTTTAATGTGCTGCATCGTTACTCGTTACTAGGGGTGTCAAAATGATGTATATCAATTCAGTAATAGATCAACACCGGTTATTATGTACTGACGTCATTTATCTGCTATGCGCGATGTCGCAATACTATGGCGAAGGAAACGAGTAAATAACACTCTTACTATAATGAAGGCGACAGCACACGAGCCGCTATTTCACTACTACAGAGAAATGCTGTAAAACTCCATCTTTACCCTCTCTCTCACTTTGGCCTGTTTGTGAGGTAACTTGTCCTCTTCTCTTGGCTGTAAAGCGATACTTGTGGATCCAGACATGAGCGTGCCTGAGGTGCGAGTTTTCTCCACTGTGTCTATTATGGATTACCTGTGATAACCGCATATTATGCGCATACAGACTGTAACTGCGACTGTTCTTGCCATCATCGTTGAACAGCGCTTTCAGTTCTAAAGCCAATTGCAGCCCTTTCTGTTGAGCAGGAGAAAACAATGACCAGTCATAGAGGTGTAAGACTTCGCCTGTCAGCGCTCAAAAAGCAATCGGGATCATATTTACATGAGTTTATTTGCTATAAATTATAATTATTAAAGAACAAAATTATATTACAAATAATATATAAATATATATATAGATTCAAAAAAAAAAACTCGTGTTGTGAAGAAAAAATCTAACTATGTATGGAAAGCATCGTCAATGCACCTTGATATCAAATTGAACCGAATCAATGGCATGATAATCCTAACCAAACCAAATCATGAGACCAGTGTAGATTCAAACCTCCAGGGATGGACTGGGACAAAAATTCAGCCCTAGCACTATAGCCACACCAGCCCACATTACAATACGTACTGTTTGTTTGACATTCTTGTCAGATTTTGATTATGTCCGCGTAACTTTTGATCGAGTCGGCCCCTCTCGAAACTATCACCGATTGGGCCAAATGCTTAACATTTACTATTATTATTACTATTATTACCATCATCAACGTCATCATAATATTCACATGTTGCACGAGATAAAAGCTGCCTGCATGTAAAAACAATACATATAAAAAATAATAATAAAACAAAAAATAAAAATAAAAAACTGACCGGCTCACATTTAAAAAAATAGTCCGGCCCTTCTAGCATTTGCCAGAATTGCCAAATGGCCAGTCTGCCCCTGCAAACCTCTACTCCTTACAATTATAGACCTTGTTCACGCTGCTGCATTGAGGGCGCCAGAGTGACCAGCGTCTTCCAATAGAATGTTTAGAACTTCCGTTTACAGCGTTTACAACCGGTAATTTGCGATCCACAAATGGGTTTTAATAGCGCTTTGAGTGGGTTATGGAGTGTTTTTGTGACACAACTTTGAAAGGAGTGTGTTAAAGCCGTTTTAATCTGTCAGATCTGTGGTTCAAGCGCCAGAGAAAAACAGTATCGTAGGCCATGTTTCTTTTCGTTCTGCTTAATCACGTGCCTCAAAAAAAGATATTTAAAATAAACAAAACAATATGATGTGATTTGACTGCTTTCTATAATAACTACATTACACAATACTTCGTCACCTTAGAATTATAAGGTTCTATCTGTGTTCTTAATGATTTTGAGATATTGGGTTTCAAAGTTTTTGCATTCCATAGCAAAGAGTATGTGTAACATTTGTTTTTTGAAATCAAAGGTCTTAAAATGTGAATAACATAAAAAAAAACATCCCATAATGTAAATAAGTTGTCATTTAATAAGAATATGTTAATAACTAAATTTTGACGAAAATGTCAGATAGAACCTTATAATTCTAAGGTGATGACTTGTACTTTTACTTTCAGTACTTGAGTAGAAAATTTTAAAATACTTGAGTACAAAAAATGTTGAATAGTTCAGTACTTCCACTGAAGTGTGGTGCTTAAAGAGCACTTCAACTTCTACTCAGGTCACTTTCTTTTTTGATAGAGCACTTGTAGTTTTACTTAAGTCTGGGTCTCTAGTACTTTATACATGTCTGGTAGTAGGCGATTTCGGATGCACCAATGCTTTGTTTCGCTCGTCAGACAAAAAAAAAAAAAACACAAAATACTTTCAATAAAGACAGAAGAGTCGAGGTGTAAAACGTTCAGACATGTTCTGTTAATTTATTGCACAAACAGCGTTTGACAAAAAAAATAAACGTACTCCGATATTAAACACATGATCAAGAAAAACAAATCTGCAGAGAGATGGAGGAACATCATTATAGTCACACTGAACTCTTGTTTAATGCGCTTCTGGTTTGATGCCGAAAGCGTTCAGGATTAAACTCCAGATCCTTCATCTGCATTTCAGCCCCTTCAGAAACACATACAGGACAATATAAATGCGTCTTCTGACACTTCAGAAAGTCTTCGTGTCGACTGGGAAAACGAGGAGCTGCGGGACGTCTGAAAATCCACACCCCGCATCATTTCTGGAGGCTTCAACATTTTACAAAAGTGCTCCCGTTAGTTAGTAAAGTGAGAAGTCTAAACCCTGATCGAGACGATACACACACAGCATTAAAGACGAGACGTTAATCTGTTATTACACATTCACACTCTTTCTTTCATTACACTGTTATTAAAATATCGATCCGTAAATTAGCAGTTTTCAGTGTTCTGCGATTCTTGTCGATTTGGGCAAACATTAATCGCGATTTACTGCATCCAAAATAAAAGTTTGTTTTGACACAATAAATGAGTTATATATATTTATGCAACAGGTCTGTCTGGTTCTCGAATCTAATTGGCTGATAGCCATGTCATTAAAGCAGTATCAGCTGTCGTACAGCCTCTTCACCCTTGTGTATTACTCCGCCCACACAGAATAACAGCAGATCAATAAACTCACTACAGCTTGAGAAATATTGCAGCTGTTGGACAACATCATGTACTGTTGAGGCTTTTTCGGTGAGGATGTAGTTGTTTAGATTTTAACTATGCAGTTTATTTATAAGGATAGTGCCTACTTTAAATATTTATAATTTTGGAGATTCAGTTCTTCGGCATCCATCATGCCCCATACACACGGGGCTTTAGTGTCAACGCATCAGGCGTTGCTGAACTGCATTGTGGATCCGTCATCCGTCAGCTCACTGCAAAAGTTGGGACTTGCTCAGCTTTTCAAGCGCCGATGGAAGCATCAGCCAATCAGATCACTGTATGCAAATACACCAGCTCAGACAGTGGCCTCTTACTGACTAATTTCATTGGCTGACGCTGCTATGATGATCGCGTCAGCCCTAACTTCAGACACGCCCTCTGTCAAGCGCTGACGCTGAAGCCCCTTGTGAATGCAGCGTCAGCCTGTCATACTAAGCAGAGCAAAGACGTTTGGCGTTCCAGCCACAAGATGGCGACCGCATAATAATCAATTAAGAGATAAAAACTCAGCAAAAAATTAAAACTACAGCGGATCAAATCATTTTAGAACAGGTAAGTGACATTCTAAGTCGATCTCTCTCTTTTGTATGCTGTATTGCTGTATTTATACCATAGTAATCTGCTAGTGTTAGCTTTGCTTTGGCTTTTTTGGGGTTAATTACTGTGACCTAATTATTGTGAGAGAAATACTGGGAGATATCCCTGTAGACTGATGGCATTTCATGCGGTTCAGCCTTATAATCTTAGTAAATCAGCTGTATTATCATCATTAGACATTACGCTAGAGAATCACTCAATCACTAGCTGTAAAGTGACGTTGGTGAATTAGTAACGCTTCTGCTGTTCTGATGTCAGCTTCAGATGTGAATGAATGGCGGAGGAAAGTTAAACATTCACATCAGGGTTGTTGAGAGTCTCCGTGTTTGATTTTCTTTTTTATATACACATTTATGCCGTCAAACTGTTGTATTAAAGCAATGTCATACTTGTAGCAGTGCGATATGGCTGTAAATCGACACTGGTGGGACAATAAGGCACTCAATCTGCAGCCTCCAGCCAATGCATGCCTCCCACCAGTGCCGATATAAAGCCATAACGCACTGCTACTCGTGTGATATTGCTCTTTATGTATATGTGATAGAACTAATCTATGCAATATTTTTTGTCAAATACACTGAAAAAAAATATTCAAAGATGATTCCTTGGATTTATTCAATTTTTTTACGTTAAGTGGTTGTAAACAATTTATTTGTGCTGAATTTAAACAAACAAATTCAATTGAACATTATTAAACTTAATTTGTTTGTTTAAATTCAACACAAATAAATTATTTGCAACAGTTCTGCATGAAACACTTTTTTTCAGTGCTCGAATTAAGCTGCGGTCACACTAGAGTTTGTGCAAGCGAAGTTTTGTCATACGACGCTGTGAATAGGGGCGGGATTAAACAAAATGATTAGACATTTAAAAAGCGAGCGATTGGTCCATATTTTAAATTTCTGTCTGGAGAGGTCATGATCCTCGATTAGTCTCACGCAGTCAAAGGAAGCAATTTTGCCGGTCAGAGTTCACCAAGCTTAAACTTCGCAACACAGCAAACTGCAGAACTCGTCGCACGAACTTGCGTTTCCTCTCTAATGCATTCGCATGCATATGAATGGAAGTCCATGGGGAGAAAAGTGCAGTGTGACCGCAGCTTCAAACATTTATTTAAATTGATAATTAGATCATTTAATCAATTGAGTTGATCATTTTAAATTAAATTGATAATAATAATTATTAAATTAATAAAATAATTATTAAATTTATCATTTGAATTGATCATTTGTATATATTTTTATATAAAGATAAACAAACATTTACTCAAATATATGCAAGCATTTACAGCTATACACAATACATATATTCAATTATTGAATATTACATGTCAAAAAAACCTTTTATTTTGAAAGTGTTTGATGATAAATTTTTGCCCAGCACTAGTTTTTATGCTTTGAATTTCATTATTAGACCTTAATATTTTCTCAAATTTTTTTTTGATGTTGAAATGTTTTTAAAAAAATAACTTGTATTGAATTGTTTACTAGTTTGAAGTGCTGTATTGTGTGTGTTGGTGTTGTATATTACACTACAAAAACCTGGTAATAATTTTACAGACTTATTTCTCTAGATATGATTTATTATACAATATATTGTTTTAAAAATGTGTTTTGTTTCTACTAAAATGTCAGTAAAAGTCACTTTTAAGCAAAGTAAGATTTTCAACACCAAAAGTTGACAGAGCAGAAATAAAGATCCAATAATGTAATCAATAACTGTAAATTAACAGCTGTGAATCACAAATTATGAAAACTGTTAATTAACGAATGTTTTTAGTAGTGAAAGGGGCAGTTCACACAGAAATGCACTGTAAAAGTTATCTGTGAAGTCTATGCTGTCTATGGAGAGCTCCAGAATTTCATCTAACACATCTTAACTTGTGTTCAGAAGGCAAATGAAGCATCATTGGGTTTGAAACTACATGAGGAAGAGTAATCAATAACAAGATTTGGATTTCAGTGTGAACGAACCCTTGAAAGTGACGAGTGAATTCAGTGATGGCAGTGTTTGCGGCAGTTTTAATGTGTAGAAATGCAAATGAGATATGTTAAAGGTATAGTTCACACAAAAATGAACATTTTACAAACTGTTTACCCTACTTCAAGTGGTTTCAAGTGAGTTTCTTTCTTCTGTTGAACACAATGTGAGAAACATGTAACCATTGACTTCCATAGAAGGAAAAACCAATGGAAGTCAATGGTTACCGGTTTCCAACATTTTTCAAAATATCTTCTTTTGTGTTCAACTGAAGAAAGAAACTCAAACAGGTTTGTGACTAATGAATGATGGGTAAATGATGTCAAAAATGTTCATTTTTAAGTGAACTACCCCTTTAAATGAACATTTTTCAATTTAATCTTTTTTCCTGGTCACCACAATGGTCGTCTAGAAAAAGAGCAGCTTGAACATTTTTCCAAATATCGCTGGATTTAAAACAACATACGAGGGAGAAAATGAGAGGGAATGAACGATTTCTTTAAAAGAAAGAAACATCTTCTGCATCTTGTGAAATATTGGAGAAATTTCGGACTTGTGGGAAATGAACTGGAGTAAATCAAACACACTTCTACACGAGGTTAAATGATGTAACAGTCACAATATAACGTTTTTAGATCAGATCTCTGGCTTTTTGCATACGTTGTGTTAAAAAAAATACAATTTGTGGACCGCACGTATACTCTCCAAGCATGATGTTGGTGTGTTAATGTACAGATGTGTGTGTGTGTGTGTGTGTGTGTGGAAGAAGATGCTGCTGACAGTCTTTGGTAGAAACATGAGGACAGATTTGAGCAGATTTTCAGCATCTCACTCATACACAACAATACTGAATCTCACAACAACATATCTGGCACATATTTCCTCCACATCGAATCAAAAGGAGAGAAAAAACAACACATTTCTGTTTTTATATACATATATTCACTGTAAAGTTTCCGTATTTTATGTGTTTTCTGCTTTATTTGCCGTTGTGAATTGCATTTTGGGATGTTGATCTCTGCTCTGTCGACTTTTGACGTAAATTCAACTCTACAGTTTAACAAAGTGAAGAAATACGTCTGTAAAATAACAGAAAATGTGCTGCAGTTTATTACAAGGTTTTTGCAGCATCAAAAAACAACACCAACACAGACTATATATACAACTTTAAACTATTAAAAATGGCAATAAAAGCCTCCTTTCTGAACTCTTCAAGGTTAAATGTTATTGGAAGAAAGATCAAGAACACACAATGCAATTCTAAAGCAGAAATAAATGGGGAAAAATAATAAAAACAAATCACAAAATTCAGAAAACTGCTCATTTACGGACAGTTTTTACAGTGTATGTCATTTTTTACTTTTGATCGCTAACAGGTTTGGGAAGACATTGGAGAGAAAAATATTATGAAATACAGTTGAAGTCAGAATTATTAGCCCCCTTTCAATTTCTCTTTTTTTTTTAAATATTTCCCAAATGATGTTTAACAGAGCAAGGAAATGTTCACAGTATGTCTGATAATATTTGTTCTTCTGGAGAAAGTCTTATTTGTTTTATTTCGGCTAGAATAAAAGCAGTTTTTACATTTTTTAACACCATTTTAAGGTCAATATTATTCGCCCCTTTAAGCTATATTTGTTTTCGATAGTCTACAGAACAAACCACTGTTATACAATGACTTGCCTAATTACCCTAACCTGACAAGTTAACCTAATTAATCTAGTTACACTGCAAAAAAATGCTTTTACTTAGACTTTTGTCTTGTTTCTAGTCCAAACATCTAAAAATTCTTATATCAAGAAGCATTTTATAGGCAAGCAAAATATTTGTCTTGTTTTCAGAAATATGCCAAAATTAGGGAGTTTTTCCATAAAACAAGCTGAATAATCCACCAATGGGGTGAGCAAAATAATCTTGTTTTTCCTTTTGACATAAGATTCTTTTGCTCACCCCATTGGTGGATTATTCAGCTTGTTTTAAGGGAAAACTCAATTTTGGCTGATTATATCTTAAAATAAGACAATATGTTTTGCTTGTCTAGAAAATTCTGCTTGATGTAAGAGTTTTTAGATATATGGACCAGAAACAAGACAAAAAATCTAAGTAAGAAAAGCATTTTTTGCATGCAGTTTAAGCCTTTAAATGTCACTTTAAGCTGTATAGAAGTGTCTTGAAGAATATCTAGTCTAATATTATTTACTGTCATCATGACAAAGAGAAAATAAATCAGTTATTAGAGATGAGTTAATAAAACTATTATGATTAGAAATGTGCTGACAAGAAAATAAACAAGCGGCCTAATAATTCTGACTTCAACTGTATATAGTAATAAAAAATAATAATAATAATAAACTGTATATTTGATGCCATTTGTAAATGTTCAGTTTCTCAGAGCTTACTGTATTAGGTTTGGATCTATATTGCAAAACAAAACACAAATTACAAAGTCATAAAATCCAGAGAAACTGCTTTATATTGCTATATTTAATAATACACTACCTGACAAAAGTCTTGTCGCCAATGAAAGTTTTATGAACAGCAAATAATAACTTCTAGTTGATCATT